CTGAGATAACTTAGACTAAAGTGAAATATCTAAACACTCAAGAGTCCTTTACCTCACTGAACCTCTCAGTCTGACAGGACAGAACTCTCCCTCCACATTATTGTAGAAAGAGCTTCTTATATCCGTTAGCGCAGCAGAAGCTAACAACATTCCCCGCCGGTACAGATGCACCCCCTCTCTCTATCTATCTATCTCTCTCTCAGGCTGGCTGTGAGCTGCGGGCGCCTGATAAGCCAACATCCCCCACTTTCATCACTTAAAGCGCCCATCGTACGGGGCAAATGGAAAATGTAACCGGGGTGAAAAGGGTGTTATCTTTACTTAATTATGAATGTTGTTACGTCAAGGCTGAAAATTCATTTTTTTTTAATTATATTTGTATTTAATCTTGTGGAAGTGCAGATCCCCTGTCCTCCACCAGGGGGTGCTGCAGCACCCTCAGCACCCCTACTTCCCACGGCCCAACGTGTGATGAAGGTGTTGCGCTGGGCTATATCATGCAATCCATTGCGGAGATATTCCCGCGATAGTGCGGAAAACTTAATGTGTTTATTTATTTCAAATGCGACATTTTACCAATATACTCACGGACCACCAGTGGTCCGCCGACCACACTTTGAGAAGCACTTTGTATATAAAGTAAAACAAATCTTGAAGGGTTTTGACAGTGACATATAACATGTTTAATGCTGCACATTTGTAAACAATTATTTATTGATACTGTGCCTGCTTGTCGGTGCATTAAATATAAACCAGTCACTGAGGATTATGAAAAGAAAGGGAGTTTATATTTCACCTTATTTCTTTTTCTAAGTTGTTTAACTATAGTATGCCAGTAGTAGTTAAAATTCCTCTATTGTAGCCAGAGAGTCTGACAGGTGGAATGAGGACACAGCAACATTGTGCAATTGTTCGAAAACTGTCCTGGTTTGCAGTTGAACAAGTATATGTTGCTCGGACTATCCAAGGAGAATGTAGAGACAGTTTAGAGTTAGTCTCTCTTTAGTCCTCTGTTTCCCCCCAGGCGGATCAGGTTTCTGTTGTGGTGCCTCGCTCTGGCCACACCTGCTTTTGCGTTTGGCCTTAAAGGAACTCCTGCGTGCTTTCACTGCCCGAAGCTTGCATACTTTCACAATGAGTAAGACCTTGAGACGGACATCTCCTGGGTAAATTAATTACAGGAAAATTAAACAATGTTATTTTCAACATGACAGTTTTATCAGTCGTGTCCTGATATGAACCACAGATTCATTTACTACACGTTCTTCGTGTCACCTGAGGACACAAAACCTCAGCGGTGAATCTAAACATTAATTGCACTGCAGTGTAACTTCATCTGCAAAATATCCAGTTTATTTCAGATGTTGGTCATTAGTTTCCACCTTGAGTAACCAAACAGAAACAGGCTTTATGTTCAATATTATAGGCCAGTTTGAAACAGTGCACTTTGACCCACTTCATTGAAAAAATAACCATCTATAGGCGTCGGTTTGATGTTCACTCCTCTTTATTTATCTTTTCTATTTATTGTAAGACAGATAGTAATTAATGGATACAATTGTATCAATGTTTTTCCTCCATTTCTCTCTTTTTTGTCAAGTTGACTACAATTATATTGCCAAGCATGTCAATACAAGGAGAAGGTATAATGAGAAGCATAGTGACACAAATAACAAACCAGGTGGGGGATGGGACGAAAAGAAGATGGAAATGGTGGGGGTGGTCTTCAACACTCATGAACTCAGAGTAGGTTCAATGGGTTCAGAGGAATGCTGTGGGGGTCGACCTGGACCCTGTTACATACACATATATACAAACACATACCCTCTTCCTTGGTTTACTATTACCCAAGGTTAAGCATTCATGTTGTTGGACAATAAGAATTCCTGCTTTGCTCACCTGCTGTTGAGCTGAAGGTACATAGTTACAAGGCTCAAAGACAGGTATTGTCATTCAAACAAGGGCATTGCTTGTTGTGTGTGTGTGTGTGTGTGGGAGTGTGTGCACGTGTTGAAGAGTGAGTTCAGTGGGTCCATGTATGTTGTATGTATAGAGGGGGATGGGAAGCCCCTTCTTCCCTGACTTTGTCATGTGTGGAGCTTAGAGGCCTCGACCACTCCTCATGCTTTAACCTGACATTTCACATCTATAAATACCAGTAAAACCCTGCATTATAACCGACTTGTGATTAAAGTCTTACTGGGAGAGAAAATACCAATACATGATGAGTATGGGGACAGATAATGTGTATGTGTGTGTGTGTGTGTGTCGTCCATACATATTGACTAGTGGTTGCATACAGCAATGCATGGGAGGGTCGGTGAGTTCACTCTATAGTAACCTTAAGTAGAGGGGGAAGGTGCTTCATGACCATACATCCCAGAGCTGGAAACTGACTTGGTGCATGATTGTAAGACCATTGTGACTTACATTTTGAGGTAGTGATCTTAATTTATGACACATTGACGAAACATCGTTCACCCTTACATTGGACGGGTTAAGAGGCCTCAATCACTCCTAATTCTTTAATGTGACATTTCATATTTAAAAATACCAGTAAAATCTAGCCATATCACTCACTAGGAGAGTAAATACATATGATGAGTAAGATAAAAAATACTCTATTGACGCTTTTGGGAAATGTAGTTGTTAAATAATAGGTATTCAGTAACAAAATTGGAGTGAAATACGGGACAGAACAGATGAGGTCAAACAAGGATAGGAAGTTTAAAAAAAAAAAAGAGTTACCATGTAAATAGCAGTATAAATAAGAAAAATAACAATAACATAAGGTGGAAGNACTCCACAAATATCCAAAATCAG